ATTTTTTTCCGGGTTGCCATGAATGTTGAAAGGGGGAAGGGGGGGAGCAGATAGATTGGCTGCCCCCCCCCCCAAAAAAAAACTTTGGGGAACCAAGGTCACCCCAACAGATGGCAGAGGATTGACCAAGATATCCCAGATATTTTTATTGGACAATGACACATGGGGAGAGAATATTTGCTCTTTTAGTTAGGGGGAAACAGTGGGAATCTTTAGTTGGTTTTTACTAGCTGTGTCGATAGTGGGAATCTTTAGAGTTGGTTTTTATTAGCTGTGTCGATATGATGTATCCAATAAACATGTTCTTTGAGGAATCTACCTGTCTCAGTTCTGCTTTTGGTGGATGCTTTACTCAGAACCCTAACACATGGATTCTGCTGCTGTGTTTCTCCCCTCCTCAAATTCTGCTGCTGCATTTCTCCCCTCCATCGATTATGTCACCCCAAATTTCTCACAGCCGCTGCTTCCCTTTGTTGGATGAGTTGCTCCAGGCCCTTTGTCCTCTGTCAGATGGGCTGCTGGGCTGGCAGAAAGTGGGGGGCTGCTGATTTTGCTGGGGAGGAAATGTTGATCAAGTCTTCCACAACTCCACCTGGGGCAGGTCACTGGGGAGGGCTGCTGGCTTGAAGGAAGCAGGGGGAGGGCTGTCTCTAGTTTGCTAGGCTCTGGGCCCTGGGATGCCTGGAGACCCCCTCAAGTAGGGCTGCCTAGATTGGAGTATGGGTCTAGGCAATTACCAAATATACTATGACCCACCAGTTAGCTGCCTCAGACAGCATCTTTGCTTTTCATCTTCCGGTTCGCTGCTCTCAGTTGCCTCTATTCTAACATTGGGCTGCTTAGTTGAGCTCTTGAGCTGGATCTATTATTCTCTGTTGCCAGCTGCCTCCAACTCTAACGAGTTGGCCATGGTGAGTTGGCTGCAACCAGTTGGCTGTGGCATGTTGTTCCATTCCCCACCAACTGGATAGAGAGCATTGTAATGAAAACAGAAAAAGCATGCTTATGTTTGATTTAAAAGAGGAGAAGGGGTCAAGAAAGTAGAGACCACGCTCTATAAGGTATAATAAAAAATAGTATGTGTGAAAAGGTCCTAATTTGACTGATTTTAGTCTTTGAACTTTAGACAATCTCCTATAATAATTTGTGGAGTAACTTACAGAGCTTTAAATTCCTGTTAATTCATGTTTCTTCTTTCTTCTTTATGAAGCAAATCTGGAAATTATTTCTTCTGTTATAATCTAGCAAAATGTTCGTTATTTTCCTGCCTTCCTTGGTTTATCATCTTCAAGATGTTATTTTAAAAAAGGACAAAGAAAGGTATAGCTCCTAAATCAACATACTGTAAATAATGCAATGACTGTATTTATATTATTCTTGAAAAAATCTTGTTACAGCTGGATCTATTCCACAAAAATAGATTTAATGAATTTAATGAATGTATTGAATTAATAGATTTCTTGGATATTGTTTCATGGGCATAAGTTAAATGGACAAACGGTACATATTGAAAAAACATAATCAACACTAATCTAATTAATCAGATTGTTCTTTTCTTTTTTATTGTATTATCATGTTTGAAATTTTTCAAATGGAATTACTTTATTCAAGGAGGAGGAGAAGGAAAAGGAGAAGGATGAGGACAAAGTGATGGCAACATGTAGGTAATTAGGGATTTGGTCTGTAACTCAATTTTGTCTTTCATTCTGTTGCTTTTGTATAAGAGTGTTAAGTAGGTTGTCTTTTCTGCCTTTGTTCCTCAGGCATGAATGTGCAGGTCACTCTGATTGCCTGCCTGCCTGCCAGATAGATGTGCTCATATTTTGTTTTTCCCACTCCCATCTTGTAGTTCTATGAATAAACCTTTGTGTTAGTTATAAACTTGCTTTAATAATCCTTTCTCTGGCTAGGTTCAAACTCTCTAAAACCTTATACAAACACAAAATTGTTGCAACCATTTTCATAATACCACCTTTAGCATTATGAATGAACACAGGCAATGATATATAAATCTTTAATTCAATCAATGAAAAATACTTTTTGACTTCAAATCAAAATTAAAGCTTGAAAGAAGTTTGAATTTTTTCCCCCAGAAATTCATGATCTTACATACTTTCCAGTTTAAAATATTAAAAATAAGGTTTGGTTTCTCCATTTTCAGTTTCCCTGAAATTTAAGACATATGTTCAAGTTCATAATTTAAGGGATTACTAAATATATAGCAAATATTGTGATTGATAAATTCATTCTTAATTACAATGTCTAAAATAAACAGTAAAACAAAAAATTATGACAGTGTTTATTTTAGATGAGCACTAGGTGGTAATGTTGTGTTGGTAAATTAATAGGGTATCTGTATTCTACCACAGTGGTCCCCAACCACCAGGCCCTAGACCGGTACCGGTCCATGGATCATTTTCTACTGGGCTGCTGGTTTGCTTGGCCGCTGCCATCTTGTTTCGACGGCGCTTGAGAAAGTGCTTCCGGGTGAGCTTGTCGGTCATCGGTTGTTGGAAAGCGGTGTTTGGGTGCTGAAGAAATCCTCACACCTTAGTTTCATCGAAAGGGGGGGGCGGCTTTGAACAAAGAGCCATCCTGATGGTGGTGGAGTCTCGTGTTACTCAGGAGGAGATTAAGAAAGAGCCTGAAATGCACAAAAAAGGTACAAAGGAGGAGTTGAAGGTGGTGGGGAGAAGCAGGAGACAGTTGGCTGGCCGGTCGCTCGGCTTACCTTGCCTTGGTCGTGCGTGCTGATGCCGGTACCGGTCCATGGATCATTTTGTGATGTCGGTACCGGGCCGTGGTATAAAAAAGGTTGGGGGCCACTGTTCTACCAGATACCCTAACAAAAATAGTTGTGCTATATCCTAACATAAAGACTTATTTCCAAAGCCTAAATCTAGAAAACCCTGTTATCTGAGATGCTAGAAATTAAACAAACAAGCAAACAAACAAACAAATAATAAATGAATAAATGAAAAATAATGATAAGAAAAAAGATATCTACACATTAAATTCATTTGAAAGGATGTTTTATTTTATACAAGCATTTATGCAAATAACATGACACAAGCCATACATTGTCAAAATATATTTTCTCTTTGTTGCAAAATTCTTAGAGCAAACCTCCTCCTATTGTACTCTCAGAAAGAAAAGCCTTTGTGTGATATATGATGGTAAAGCAATCTGTAAACTACCAAACCAGATAAAGCAGGAAAATATTTTCAACATGCAATCATTTCTCCAAATATATGTACACTGCTTATGCATGTACTGAATTTCAATGCCCAAATATTATACACATAGTAAATCATTAGACAAATAAAATGTCCTATCATTTAGCAAAGTGGAGTGGCTACTTCTGGTACAGATAGTCCTCAGATTACCACAGTTCATTTGATGACTATTCAAAGTTACAATGGCACTGAAAAAAGTGACGTGACCATTTTTCACACTTACAACCAGTGCAGCATCCTCATGGTCAACATGATTAAAAGCTTGCAACTGACTCATAGTTTGCCACAGCCCAGGAGCCATGTAACCTTTTGTAACCTTTTGACTAGCAAGAAGACAGGTTCATTTAACAATCATGTTACTAACTTAACAGCTGATGTGATTATTTAACAACTGTGGCAAAAAAAATTTGTAAAATGGGGCAAAACTCACTTAACAAATATGTCACTTATCGATAGAAATTTTGAGCTCCGCTATGGTCATAAGTTGAGGACTATCTGTAGCTGGTTTAAAATGGAACAAAAGGGAAGCCAATAGGCACTTTACACTGATTATTGCAAGACTTTGATTCTTATGGATTGCTATTTGATCTATTTGAAAGATTTTTTTATTCTTCATCTTTTTTCCCCATCTGAATTCAAAATTAAAATTGTCATGCAGGAAAAGGAGAGCAGGTGAGATTCACCAATGTTTATGAGCAAATAAACTTACAGAGTCATCAAATTAATGATTTTCCATTCTGTTGAAAGCATAGTGTGATTAAATATAATATTCAGAAAAATATCACAAAGACTAAAGAGAAGGATTGTTCATTTTAATCTACATGTGTTTTCTTCTATTCTCTAGGTCTATGTAATATAGGGTAAGTGCAATATTATAATTAAAATTGTAGACTGTGAGTAGAGAATCTGATCCTCAAACCCTCACTTATCCATGGAAATCCACTGAATAACTGCCCACCAACATACTTCACAGGATTGTTCTTATGGGGATAGAATGCATGGAGATCTCATAAAAGTCACCTTGAACAGGGCTGTCAAATTCCCAGCCCATGGGCCAGATGAGTCATGTACTGGCCATATCCATAACTGGTTAGTGATGGAGAAAAAAAACCTCCTGATATGTCATGTGACACAACCATAACAACATTAGTTTGACACTTGTCTTAGAGGAAAGATGGGAAATAAATCAAATAAATAAACCCATGCATACTCACACACCCAAATCAGAAAAAGACAAAGTACAGTAATGAAATGGGGGTGGAATTCAAGAGGAGTGCCTTATTTTCAAGAAAAATATTTGCACGACTGTGAGAAACCTAGATGTCTTGATATATGAAAGCCAGTAATGGTGTAGTGTGAAGGTATGTGTTAGATAGAAGCATGGAGATTGAGTTGTAGTCCTCCTTAGGGATAAAAGTTGACTGGGTAACTTGAGTTAGTCTTTTTCTTATCTCCACACTGCAGTTAAAAAAAACCTATACCAATCTATGTCGAACCACTGTGGTAGTTATATCATCATTCTGTACTGCTTCATGTTTAATTTGCAATCTCACTCTGAATATCAAAACCTTCCATAGAATTGAATTCAAATACTCATTACATATTGCTATAGTAGACTGTGTCATTCATCTTTTAGGAGACAGAAAGCAGAAACAGTCAACCTGAATGTACATGCAAATTTTCAGTCTTTTATATAGACACAGGACAAAGTTTTCTGCTGCTGCATCTGGGACATTTTTGATGAATCAGGGAGAATGTGTTTAAGCAGAATGCTTCCATTATATTTGTTTAATTGTATAATAGCTTGTTGTCTGAATAATCTGTATCTTTCAAAGTGTCCATTAATAAGTAGAAACTTGGCCTACTTCCTATTCCAATGCTCAGAGATATGCTGAATTTTCTTCATTCTGCCCCTCTGGTCAAGCAGTTTGTATTTCACCAAGTAGTCCTCAGTTTTCTTGTGGAAAGGTGGGAAGGTAGTATTTGCAGAGGCAAAATTAGATTTCTTGGACTGATGTATTGAAAGTTTGATAACTAGACAGAAGATAAAAACAGAAGTAATGAAAATAAATCAGGTGCTGTCATATTAACCCCTATTATACCTCAGTCCCTTCAGAAATATTTTAGATTATACCTGAGAAAGTAAGAACCAGACGTGTGCATATATTGAACAGCAGGAGGAAAATGAGGACAAAAGAGGATACAAATAGAGAAAAGCTTAGGTGCATGGCTTATAGTTACTTAGAATATTTCTAAATTTAAAATTCTAACATAACTAAAGAGCATATTATTTTAATAATTCTTAATATTTGCACTGAACCTATAAACTGTGATAGAGAAACACATATGTGTATTGATATACAAAAGTAAAAGAATCTTGATTGTCTTTATCATGAGAGCAATACAACGAAAATAGTGAAGAAATGCTATGCAGTCTTGCAGATTTGAGCATAATGTAGCAACTGTCTGCAAATCTTTAACACATCTGCGTAATGAACAACAGGAAATGGTGAAATAAGCAAAAAAAATTTCCTGCTTTCTTAAATAAAATAGTAGAGGGTGTTCTTCTGTCTACAACCGTTTAGCAGCCAGGAAATAACTTTTATGAAAAATGGAAAGGAGAAAAAACTGAAATTTAGGAAAAGAAGTGCTAATGAAGAGGACCAAGCCTAGGAAATAGTTAACCTATTTGGGCTGGGCACTGAACTAAAGAGGAGTGTATTAGCAATTACCAACATCACAGAAATACAACTGTAATCACAACCTGGACTGGTTAGATCAGAGGTATCAAACTCTATTTCATTGAGAGGGCTGCATTAGGGTTATATTTGACCCCAATTTGGAGGACTGGTGTTAGTGTGGACGTGGGGTGGACGTGACCTGATCATGTCTGCTTCAGGAGCACCTGTGGTGACCAAGTGCTAAGGCAGACTTCCCTCAGACCCTCCCTCACTCTCATTTTAGTCTCCTTCCTTCCTTCTTTTTCCTTCTCTCTTCTTTCTCCTTTCTTCTTCCTTCCCCTCCTTATTTTTCCTTCCTTGCTGTCTTTCCATCTTTCCTTTTAATTCAAATGGGGACAAGGCTATAGGTTGTTCTTAAAATTTCTGATTATAATAAATGAATTTCAAAACTTCAGCAGCCAATAGTTCAGCAGAATGTGCATTCCCACAATTGGATTTTCTCTTTTCCAATGAGGTCCTGTGGGATAGAGATGCTAACAGAAACACATTTGGGGTTTTTCTGCCAAATAGTAGAACCAAAAGCCATTGGAGAAATGCCTTACTTGCACCTCAAAAATAACATTAAAGAATACCATCCATCCATGCACTGACAAAAGAAAGTGCAGTGCATGGACAGATGGCCATAATTTTACTTTTTCTTGCTCTGTAGAAACATTCTTGCCAAGAAAGAAGGTGAATTGATTTAGAATGCTTTTCTTCTAAAAGATCACACATATATCCACTGGCCAAAAGAAGTACAGTCACCAAAATACAAGCCAGGACACCAAAAAAGGAAAACGCACATTGTTCCAGTCTTATTCCCTCAGACTTGGAAAGCAGGCAATGGCAAACATTGTCACAAAAAGTGCAGAGACTTGTTCAGACAGTCACCAGGAACTGACTTAAATCCTCCTCCCCTGCCCAACAACAGCCACTTAGAACTAAAAATTATGTATCGAATAAATAATGGCAAGAAAGAAAAATTATGTAGGTCATGAAATTCTATGTTCTATTTTGGAGCCAGTGTTATTGTTATTATATTTATATAATTAATACATTATATTGACTTCTGTACTAATCCACAGGAAATACATTGCTAAGCATTATTTATGGCATTTTCTCAAACTGATATCATGTCTATTGGGAAGTGTAGGAGATGAAATCCAGTCATGAAATGGGAAATATTTATTTAAGGGGTTGGTCATGTGATCTGAATTAAAGAAGTCATATTGTCGAGTTTCGTGAAACGACTCACTTGACAGCATTGGAAGATTAAGGGCTTGAGGGAGATGAAACAAAAACAAACATTGCTACCAGATGACTTCATGCTGACTAGTTTAGATTGATGGGGGGGGAATACAAACACTTAATTACATACCCACAATCGGCAATGCAGCATTAACGACAAGGAACATCATACTAATGAATTCATAAAGACAGCTTTTGGCCGGGTGGGTAAATAGATCAAGAGAGAGCAACTGCAGGAACGGGAGGAGTAAGGGATAGTTGGGAATCATGGCTTAGTTAGTATGCAATGTAGACCATAGAATTATAGTGTTAATTGGGTAATTGGGACACCAGTGCAGGGCAGAGATTAGGTGGGTGGGGTGAAGGGATAAATTACACTGAAAGATGATTGATTTCAGTGCTAACCTTGTTCAGTTTAACTGTGCTTGCTGGTTACTGTACTAGGAACAATAAACAAAAAGAATACAAACCTATCTGTTTGCAATTTCTTACCTAGGATTCAGAGAACCACAGCTAAGACATATATTTGTTTAACTGGATAGGCATTCAAATACAGTTGGAACCACTAACCTGGCAAAGTTAGCTGATCTGTGCAATTAGGAACAGATGGCAGTTTCATAAATTGTTTTGAACCTGTAAGAATAAAAACAGATGAGTTATTGCTATGCCTTCTACAAATCATTTTATTATATGTCAGTATATTTATATTTCCTCTCCATTGCTACAATAACAGATTTAAAAGCCAAATTGCTGACATCACAATAGTTAACATGATTAAGGTGCCATGATCCGGGTTGCAAAATACTGGATGACTACTAGATTCCTATTATCTAGTTTTTTTTACTAGTTCTATTTCAACTTTCAGATGATTTCAGATAATACCATACCATAGTATGGAAAGCACTATGCTTTCATATCTGTCTCAGAAATCTAAAATGTGCAAGCGTTAATCACTTTTCTTTCCAGATGGTGGAGAAGGGAAAAGGGAGCATGAGACCCAGACTAACTTTTACTGGTTGCAGAAGAATTCCATGGAAACTAGGCTCCATCTAATGTAGTGATTTGGGATTGCACTAGACCTGCTCACTTTTTTCCCCACTAAGATGATTGAAACCCCAAATATGACAAAAGACAGCAAACTCAGCATGGTCAGATTATTGTACAACCACAGAACACTCAGTACTTTAAGAAGCCATGATAAATAGGGACTAGATAATAGAAGCATTTTGAGCAAGTATAGCCAATGGTGAGAAATGTTAGAAAAACTGTTGTTCACTTCTATCTTAATGAATATAGTTGAACAATGAAATCAAGATATCCCATTATACTTTGCATTGTATTTTCAGAATCACAATCAGAATAGAGCTGGAAGGGACCCAGTCTCCTGGCTCAAGCAGAAGATCCTATACCATTTCTGAAAAGTGACTGTCCAGTCTCTTCTTAAAAACCTCCCGTGATGAGGCAGCCACAACTCTTAAAGACAAGTTTTTTTCACTGTTTAATTTTCCTCACTTAACAGTGAGGACAATTAAAGTTGAATTGAAGTTTCTGTTCAATTCCAGGTTGTTATTGTTATGTCTTTGGGACCGGTTGGAGTCCCCAACCAGGTCCGCTGTTTGAGCGGGAGCACCAGCCGCTCCCATTGGCTGACACCGTTTGACAGCCGGCCATAAAAGGCGGCTGTCGAGCAGTGTCAGCCCTATTGCCGCCAGCTAACCTGCCAAGTTAGAAGGCAGTCTTGCAATAAAGCCTTTGACGTTCACTCTGGTTCAGCCTCGTTCCTCTGCCGCTCTACAACACTGGCGACGAGGGCGGGATGCGATCGGAGGCTGCCAGACGTGCGATTCAGAAGGGCTGTAGCCACTAAGAGCGAAGCCACGGGCGCTGAAGCCGCAGCCACCGGCGCTCACAAAGAGCGCGAAACTCAAAAAAAGCCCCTCAGCCGGGGAGACAGACACCGCCTGATAGGCGCAGCCGCAAACGCTCTTCTAAGAGCGCGAATTTTGAATCACAACGACTAAGGTGACAGGCACCGCCGCCTCAAAAAAAAAAATAATGAATGCCAATCTGACATTTCCACCCTTCAAGCCTACCGAGGAAACGTGGGATTCATATAAAAACCGTTTCAGCTACTTCCTCGACGCTATTGGTCTAACTGATGCTGCTGAACACAAAAAAAAATCTTTCTTCCTCAGCTACTGTGGGGCTGTGGTTTTTGACACCGCTACAGCACTAGTTGCCCCTTGCTCTATCAGGAGCGTACCTTGGGATGAACTCCAAGAGATCCTCTCCAACCACTACTCACCTAAACCATCCCAGATAGCCAGGAGATATGCCTTCAGAACTAGAAGGCAGGCTGAGGGGGAGTCAATTAATGAGTATATGGCAGCTCTGAGGACAGCCGCCTTACAGTGTGGGTTTAGAGACTACCTAGAGGACATGTTATTAGACCAGATCGTCTGTGGGGTTAGAGACCTTAGGCTTCAAAGACGCTTGCTAGCCAAAAAGGATTTAACCCTAGCTTTAGCCGTAGAAAAAGCCCAAGCTGCTGAGCTCTCTGCCCAATCAGCAGCTGAGATTCAAGGAACTCCTTTAAGACCCAGCAGCTCCACTATTCATTCAGAGGAAGTTTCCCTTGAAGAAGACCCCATAGACTCAACAGACATTTACCGCCTTAGGCAACAAAAGCCCTCACAGGAAGGAGCGGGGCAGAGAAACAACTTCACCCCCAAGCAACCTCCCATTTGCCTAGCCTGCGGGGGTTCCCACTCCAGGGCATCCTGCAGGTTTAGGAATGCCTTCTGTCTAAATTGTCAGAAGAAAGGCCACCTAGCCAGGATCTGCCAAGCAGGGCGAACCTTTCCTCAGAGACCTCCACCACCTGCTAATTTCCAAAGGCAGGTGGAGGACTGCTATACTTGCTACCACGCGAACCATACTTCCAAGACTCCAAATAAAATCAGTATTTTTGTTTCTTTAGAAGGAAAGCCTTGCAGAATGGAGGTAGACACGGGATCTGCACTTTCAATCATCTCCTGGGAAACCCTCAAGAAGATTCATCCCAGATTCTCAAAGAAGAAGCTGCAGAAATGCCACCTGACACTGCGGGACTACCAAGGCAAGAACATCCCTGTCCTCGGGAAAGGCAAGTTTTTAGTTCAGTTCCAAGGTTTTAAAGGCCATTTGCCTTTGGTGGTTGTTAATGGTGCCCTTCCCAGTCTGTTGGGACTAGATTGGTTCCCTTCTCTCGGCCTTAGTGTAACGGGGATCCATGCTGTCTCAACCTCTGACGTAGACGCCCTATTCTCAGACTACTCTGATGTTTTTAGCAGCGAGCTGGGCTGCTATTCTGGCACCCCCATCTCCTTCACTGTGGACCCCCAGGCAATTCCCCTTCGCCTTAAGCCACGCAGAGTGCCCTTTGCCATCCGCCCTAAGTTAGATTTAGAATTAGATAAGTTACTGAAGCAAGGGGTGTTAGAGCCAACTGACTTTGCCAAATGGGAGACCCCCATAGTCACCCCACTCAAGAAAGATGGCAGCATAAGAATCTGCGCAGACTATAAAACCACCCTCAATCGTTATCTGCAGGTCAGCGCCTACCCGGTCCCTGTTATTCAACACCTGTTACACACCTTCGAACCCGGCACCATCTTTGCCAAATTAGATATGTCCCAGGCATACCAACAGTTCCCTGTTGATGATCAGACAGCTGAATTACAAACCATAGTCACACATAGAGGGGCGTTCAAGTGTAAACGCCTCCAATTCGGTGTAAGTGTGGCCCCGGGTATATTCCAATCCCTCATGGAAAGGATTCTCCAAGGTCTCCCAGGGGTTGTCCCTTACTTCGATGACATTTTAGTCTCAGCAGTTGACAGACCTCAGCTCATACAAAGGGTCAGAGCAGTCCTAGAGAAGTTTAGGCAGCATGGCCTCAAACTTAAAAGGGAGAAGTGCGCCATCGCCACTAGGCAAGTGGACTTTCTGGGGTATAGGATAGATGCCTCTGGCATTCACCCAGTCGAATCCAAAGTAAAGGCTATCCATGAGGCACCCACTCCAACTAACAAGACGGAGCTCCAAGCCTTTCTAGGGCTACTAAACTTTTACGCTTCATTTCTCCCGCACAAAGCATCTATTGCTGAACCCTTACACAGACTGTTAGACAAAGAATCCCCCTGGCATTGGGGACCCAAAGAAGCCCATGCTTTCAAGTCAGTCAAATCCTTACTCACATCTGATGCAGTTTTAATCCAATATAATCAACGACTCCCCCTGGTCCTAGCTGCTGATGCATCCCCCTTTGGGATTGGGGCTGTTCTGAGCCACAGGCTTCCCAATGGTTCCGAGGCACCAATTGCTTTCTTCTCTAGGACCTTCTCTACTGCAGAAAGGAACTACAGCCAAATAGATAAGGAGGCCTTGGCTGCAGTAGCTGCAGTAAAAAAGTTTCATGAATTTTTGTTTGGGCACCATTTTGAACTTATAACTGACCATAAACCACTCCTGGGGCTTTTATCAGGGGATAAGCAAACCCCACAGGTACTATCACCTAGAATAACCAGGTGGACTTTGTTCCTGGCCACTTACTCATTCAAGTTGGTGCATCGCCCTGGAAAAAACTTGAGTCACGCTGATGCCCTTAGTCGCTGCCCCCTGCCAGTCCCAGTCGAAGACCCAGCACCCGTTCATGCCATCTTTGAAGTTAATGAACTGAAATTGCCGGTTACAGCCAAGGACATTGCTGCGCACTCAAAAAAAGACAGAATAATTGCCCAAGTCATGGACTGGGTGGGAAGGGGGTGGCCTGAAACACAATACACTTCTGACTTTGCTCCCTTCAAAACCCGTAAGCAGGAATTGTCGAAGCTACAAGGATGTCTGTTGTGGGGAACAAGAGTAGTCATCCCAGCCACCCTTCGGGTACCCATCCTAAAGGTACTTCACGAGGGCCACCCGGGCATCGTAAGGATGAAGGCTCTGGCCCGCAGCTACATGTGGTGGCCCGGCATGGATGCCCAAATCTCCAGCTGGGTAAGCTCATGCCAACCTTGCCAAGAAACCAGGGCTGCCCCACCAGCAGCCACGCCTACCAAGTGGGAAAGTGCTAGGGGTCCTTGGTCTCGCCTGCACATCGACCTGGCTGGACCAGTACATGGAAGGACCTTCTTGGTTGTAGTAGACTCTTATTCCAAATGGATAGACTTGGCCCTACTACCTTCAACATCCACTCAAGCAATTGTTAAGGCTCTGACCCATTTCTTCGTCACCCATGGGCTCCCTGATACACTGGTGTCTGACAATGGCCCCCAGTTTACGTCTTGTGAGTTTAGTATGTACGTTGCCAACTTGGGCATCAGACACATCCTTACAGCCCCTTTTCACCCAGCTAGCAACGGGATGGCTGAGAGGGCAGTCAGGTCAGCAAAAGAGGCACTTGCCAGGTTTGGCCAGGAAAACTGGCACTCCAAACTGTCCCGTTACCTCCTGAGCCAGCATACAATGCCTTGCACCACTACAAATAAATCCCCAGCAGAGCTCTTGATGGGGAGACGCCTTAGGACCACCCTGGACAGGTTGCACCCCCACTACTGCCCTGACATCCCTATAGGATCTGACAGTTTGGTCAG